AGGTTACGTAAGTGCTTACATTTCCAAAGGGGATACTGTTAATATTTGGTCTTTTGCTTGTATTGTAATGCTAAATAGTGGCCCCCAAGGCCTAGATGAGCCCATGGACAAGGGAACCTCCATATACCCAAGTGACATATGCAATTGACACTATAAAAACTTGCTCTCCCAAGTTAGCCCTGATTGGTGAATAAAGAGACAGAGTTTGTGGGTTCCCAGGGTTGGGGTTAGAGGAGGTCTCCACTAGGGAGAGAGAGGGGGGAGAGAGGAGGAAGCCACCATGGGGTGAATTATGAATACAGGAGCATGAGAGGTGGCCAATTGGAGTTAAGGGCCCCCTGAGATGGATCATACCAAGTTATAATTCAGGGTTAATAGTGGGGAAATAGATTCTAATAGCAAAGAGGGTAGATATTTGCCTGACTCTAGTGCTGATTGGGATTATTATAAAAATAAAAGTGTGTGTCCTTTTTCTAGGAACTGAATGTTCAATGGCAGGTAGAACCCCAAATTTGAAATTAAATAATTATTACAATAAGATACAAACTAATTATTAAAATATTTATTTTAGTATTTTAAAGTTTATGTGCATGTATCTATGTGTGGCTATTTGCATGTGTGTGACATGCCTGTGTAGGCCAGAAGATGACATTGTAGCACTGGAGCAGAAGTTGCAGGTGGTTGTAAGCCCCCCGTTATGACAGCTGGGGTCATCAAGAAGAGTATAAGAGTACACTTAACCATTTTTCCATCACCTCTGCCATGTTTTTGTTTTTTTCTTTTGAAGCACTAACTCATTAAAATAGTAGCACACTAGTCTGGTTAGAGTCTATGATCAGAATGACCGAGGGATACTCCTGATTCCATTTTCCCTTCACAAGGCTTGGGTTCCTGTAAATGCTACAATTCTTGGATTTTTGTATGGATGATGAACTCCGAACACCATGTTTGTGAAGAGAGCACTTAGCCAACTGAGTCATCTCTCAAATCATCATCTGTTTATAAATAACCTTCCTATTTGTTTTGAGCAATCATTTGTTTTAATACAATGCCTAACACATAAGAGGTATTCTTGAATAATAACAGAATCATTGACTATTCATTAATTGTCATAAACTATTGACTTATAACTCTATTTGCATTTTGAAATCCTCCAGAAACATTTTGTATATTCAGTTGATCAATAGCCTCACAAAACATCTGCCCTATGGTTTGGGTAATGTCACTGGCAACAGTGGCCAGGTGATTCAGACAAACACAGAGGGAGGGAGTGGCTATAATTTTTCTAGAGCCCTTGTTTTCTCTTCCCTAAGGGAAGATGAAGCACTGTAAACAAAAAGTCTTGACAGTACATTGCACACTGAGCTAGAGGGGGAGTTCTAGTTTCTGCATCTGATTTTCATGACAGCAACTTTTGTCCAATCTTCTCTGTTTGGATTCTAACAAAGAGATTCTAGAAGTCAGTCTCCTCTCTCACATACACTGGCTTGAGGTAGAGTACTCTGGCTCCCCACCCAGTCAGAAAAGGGCAGGTATAATTAATCATTACAGAGACTCTCTCTCCAGTAAATATCTGTCTAGTAAAGAGATAACTGCCCTAAAATTAGACCCTCAGCCTCCCCAGAAATGGATAAGGAGTTCCCATACTATGCTGATCTGGTACCACACAATTTGAGTAAAGATGAGACTAATTGTCTTGCAAAGCATACTTAGAACTCTATTAAAATGTATCAACATGTGTTTTTTACTGAAATCAAAATGGGACCTCCCTGTCTGATTCTCAGCTTTCAGTCCTGTAGTGGGGAAGCTCTTCTGAACATGGATATCCAGTTTTATTCTTCAGGTGATACTGTAAGACAGGTATCATCCAGAGATGCTAAAGATATAAATCTGAGCTTAGTAAGTGGTTTGTTGATGCCCAGGGAACACCACAGTGTCATAGCTGGCATGTGAGCCCTGGCTGATTTGTTTCTCAGCCATTTTTTTTAATACTGCTCTATTCTCCTCACAGCTTTGCTAGTAAATCAAACATCTGTTATAGCAGTAATGAGCATGCTGAATCCTGAATTCATTTGAGTTGTGTTTGTACCCAAGTATTTTTCTTTTTCTACTATATGATATTGGGGAAACTATGCAATTACTTTGAAGATTAGCAACTCTGGTGGGGAAAGGTTATAATTCATACCTTGCTATAGTTTTATTATCGATGATAAGATAATATGCCTAAAGCAATTAATAAAATTTGGTACTAATTTATATGAGTAATCAAATACATGTATTAGAACAGTAATTACATCAATAATCTCTCCACTGTGCTATGATGAGACTTTTTCCCCTTTTAGCCTAGTACAGCCTGTTGGCATCTCAAGGGCTCAGTTCCAGAAACATGTGCATAACATCTACAGATGTTCAAACTTTCTGGTATAAAATGACAGAACAGTGATTTGCCCCAACATCTAATATGTTGTATGCTAAATAAATAACTACTGTAAGCTTTGTTTGGGAACAATGGCAGGAAAAACATTCATGTTCAGTGCTTAAGCAATTTTTCTTCTGTTTCCTCCAAATGAATAAGAAAAAAATCTATATTCTTAAATGGATTTTCAAATAAATTTTTGGTTATTATATCAGAGGTTAGTCTGACTTTTGATTATAGATAAAATTATAACAGCAACTTTGTAACATCTATCATGAAATAAACTTCAAGAATAAAAACTAATCTATAAATCAGAATTAATAGAGATTTAAAAATCATAAAATATTAACAAATTAAATCCTTAGAATATTACATCAATACATCAATATTTGACTACAAAGCATTTTAGAATACAAAGGTAAATCAAAATAGAGGAAACATAAGATAGTCATCCTAATACACCTATGTTATGTTCAGTTCAGATGTATAAATGAGAAAAGACCAATGAATATGGTATACTTGCTTACAAAATTTTATATACATTTGTTTTTATGATATCTTTATATGTTTGCACAGGGTTGTGTTTGTTTGTTTGTTTAGGTGTTTGTGTGTGTATGTGTAGGAATGTATGTGGATGTACTCATTTATGTATAAGGAGGCCCAAAGTTGACATCAATGTTACCCCAGATAGCTGTAACCATCAACCTGACATCGTCTGGAGACACCCAAGAAAAGCTTCTCGAGTAATTGACAAGATTGTGCCTAAGGACATGTCTAAGGGGATTTTCTTGATTGTTAGTAGATGTAGGAATGGCAGCACACTCCTGGACAGGTAGTCTCAGACCGTACTTAAAACCTTGTTAAGGCTGTATCCAAATCATCAGGCAGCATTCTACTCCTTCATGGGTTCTGCTACACTTCGTTGGCTGTGAGTGAGATCTTTGGTTAGAGGTAATGCAACAGCAAGAAGTCTATCTTCAGACTCCTTTTTGATTTTTTTCCCAGGCTTCCTTCAATGATGAGTTGGAATCTGGAAGCTTGAATAAACACTTCCTCCACTAAGTTGCTTTGGTCAGAGTGTTTTTATCAAAGGAACAAACAGGAAACTCTAGAGGTATTATTCAGTTCCCCTTTACCAGATATTTTACAGCAAGCTCTCTTGTGGACAAGAAACTCACTATTAACTAGTCTTGCTAGTTATCTTGCTCTAGGCCTGCCCTCTTCCTGCATCCTGTCAGGACTGCAGACAGCTACCACATGCTTCTAGCAATTTTATGAGTTCTAGGGATCTGACCTCTTGCCTTATGAGGCAAGAACTTTTCACACTGAGCCATCTTCTTAGCCAGGACACCCAACTATTTTTAACCAAGAACAAGCTTTTAATATTAATCAGATATTAAAAATTTAGAGGTCATAATACTAATCACATATTAAAATTCTAGAGGTTAAATTATTTTCAAAAGGAGAGAATTTAGTTCTCACTATTAATCTCTATACATCATAAAATCAATATCAAAATATAGCTAAATAGCTAACATTATATTGGTTAAGTTCATTTTGTGTAACAGACAAATCAAGTGTAACTACTCTAGTTTTACCAGACAAAGTACTTACCCATGATACTCTCTATGTTGTAGAATTATATATTATCTATGTTCTTCTTTTAATTAAGTACATTTAATATATACTTTATATAGTAATATTAATCTCACAGTGAAATTAAATGTATTGAAATATTTTAATAAACATTTTATTAACTTGTCATGAAGCATGTTTTAGTATCTCTTTATGCTGACATATAAAATGCATATAATAAAACAAATATTTAAAAAGAACTAAGTCATCTTTTTAGCCCTATCTTAAAGAATTTTATTTTTTTAAAAATTCACATTGAATATTTGTTGAGGATGGTTCTAAGGATGGAGTGATAAATACAACTATGAGGACCTGAGTTTGATCCCTCAGACCCCATGTTAAGAAACAAACAGGCATAGTAGTACATGCTTGTAGTACCAGCTCAGGAGGGCAGAAACAGGCAAACTAATCTTTAACCTCCAGATTAGTGAGAAACACTTCCTCATAAGGTTGTACAATACCTAAAAAGTGTCATTCAAGTTTATCTTGTGCCCCTTCCATGACATATATTTGCATACATGCAAGCATCCGTATACACTCACACATTGTCTATACACAAGTTCATAATACTCAAAGAATTTCGCAGGATGATTATTGGCTCCTATGACAGAGCATGGTCCTAAAATTCATGAAGCTTTGGGTTGTAAAGTCAATACCTCAAACAACAACAACAACAACAACAACAACAGCGGCAGCAGCAGCAGCAACAACAAAAACAACATAAAAAAGTACACTAAGAATTATTTAGTGAATTTTAGTGTTAGTGGCACATGTTGACTATTCATTACATGATGGAAAGTATTTTTCCTATAGACATAACCTCCCAGATTTACTTCTGGACTATGACTTTGGATGAGACCCCTGTATAGACAGAACAAGAAAGTTTCTCCTTAGCACTCAAAATGTCTTTGTCTAATACTTGGATTTCAAACTTAATCACTATACTTACTCATTCTCCCATTCAGTTGAGCTGAGCTGGAACTTCTAGTGAGATCCGAGGAACTGGAGAAAGCCATCGGTGAGAGGAAGGAGGCCAATGGGTCATCACAGTTGTCTGCAAAGTTGGTAAGAGAAGGAGAATTCAGATTCTATGGACAAGTAACAAACACTCTCTTTTGTTAAGCATCTGTTCTGGAAAGGTTAGGAATTATTTTTCAGTGTGTGTCTTTGAAGTTACTTCTCATAACCCTCAAACATGGTATGACTTCCTTTCTTTAATAGAGAAATGAAGGCTGAAACAGTTCAAGGTCACAACACTAATAAATAGTATAACAAAAACTCTCAGGAAGATTTGTTTGGGTTGAAAGCCCAGCTACACATCCTTTCCTTTAGTTGAGCATTTGACTGAAGCCTCATAGCATGTCTGTGCTTAGTCTATGAGAAGGGAAACTCTTACAAGGAGTCATTTTTCCTCCAATCTCCAGGTTTCAACTACCCTTGTAATTAACGTGTCTCAAAATAGGATACCTTTAAATTTCTTATTACAACTTGTGTGTAATGAAGTGGGAAATGTGCTACTTACACATGTGCTCTCTTGTATTACAGGAAATGAAAGAGAATAGCCTCAGATGTTGTACAATCTTGAGCTAGAGAGGAACTTCAATAGATAACTTTCTAGCCTTCTCTGGTGAGCTATACTCTAAAGGTGTTTTGATAATAATAAACATGATAAGACCATGGACAAATACATATCTTGACAACAGAATAATATCCCTCTAAGTTCACACTAATCCATAGCTATAGGATTTTAGATGGAGGGACTTGCTGGTCACATTTACATATCACATACATAAATGGTTTGAACATTTATGCTCACCAAAACTATCATTGAGATTTAGTTACCATGAAACCAAACTAAGAGGCTGGATCTTTGAAAGCTTCACCCTTGTTGTGAGTTTAGTGTTTCAGAAGTGCAGTTGCTCATCCTCTTTCCTCCAGTCACATAATGACTCATAATGTTGATCTTGTTGCACACTGCAACCTTGATATCAGACTTCTCATCCTTCAGAAATGTCAGCCAACAACTTTTTATTATATGTTACTCTGTCTCAGATATTCTGTTATAGCAGTACATAACAGGTTATGGAACTTAGTCATCAGTGAGTTGTAGTGCTTCCATGAGGTAGTCCATGTGGGTTATTTTTGTTGTTGTTTGTTTTTTTTTTTTGGAGGGGGATTATTTAACAATGAATCTACTGCATAATAAAACTCAAAAATCGATGTGTGGAAAGGGTGGGTTGGTGAATGATGAAGGCAAAGACTGGTCAATCAACCAATTAGCTAATCCCACTAAGCCAACATTCTTTTCTTGTTTTTATATTGTACACAATTGATTCTCAGGGACATTGACAAACGACTCCATAACATCTAGACAGACCTTATTCAAAACAGATTTGAAATGTGCCACTCAATTTTCTGTTATGCAGTCACTTGGGAGGACCTGATCTGATATTTGAAAAGAACATTTACAAAAGATCTTGATTGTTTATCCAGCCAATTCTTACAAAGCTGTTTTACTGGTAATTGAAGAAAAAATAATTAGAAATGTGAGGCTTAAATTCTTGTTTGTTAAGTATGTTTAAAAATAATCTAGTAAACTGGCTTTCAGGTGTCTCCCAAATGCAAACTTCTGTTTGACAAGGATGAAGCAGAGGCATATGACAGCTGGAGTGGCAAATCATCAGAATCATATTAATGGCAGCTTGAGGTCTCTGGGTATGGGGCAAGACAGCAGGAAAACATGGACCATGTTGCTGCTTTACTCATAGTACAGGATGGTGGTAGAGAGTTACATATGCACCACACAACATGTGTTTGTTATCTTCCCCCTTTCTGTTTTACTCTTTCTCTCTCTTACAAACACACACACACACACACACACACACACACACACACAATACAAGGCAGGTATTGAATTTGCGTATGAATCTTTTGACATCAAGAAACATCAGAACAACAGATATAGCTGGAGGCATAGCTTATTTTGCCAAGTACTTGCTATGTAATAAGAACCTGATTTCAACCACCCAGGTAAAATCCTGGATGCTATGTTGCTGCCCTCTTTTAATTCCAGCACTGGGGTGGAAGAGATAGTGAATCTCTTAAGGTTGCTTGCCACTGAGAATAACAATTTTCTTTCTTTTTCTTTTTCTTTTTTTTCTTTTTTTTGTGCTCCAGCCCAGCACAATAGGAGATTATGTCTTGAAAGAAAAGATAGACAGTATCTGGCCGTATGATGTTCAAGGCTGACCTCTGACCTCCACAGACACAAACAGATACCAGAATGTATGTACTTGCAAACCTGGACAATTGCACACTAGATCATGAATACACACACACACACACACACAAATACACATGCACACACACAGAGAGTGAACAGAGTGAACAGAGTGAAGTTGTCTTTATCTGGCTCTGATAACTTTTCCATATGTCATAGATGACCTTTATAAGTATTGCGCACCTGGCTCTGACCATCCCTTAAGTCTTTCTTATCAAGTTTTATAGAAAAATCACCTCTCTATTTTTCTATGCATTGATATTTTGTATTTCACAAAACTGAATGTACTCCCTTAAAAAGTCGGAAGTGAGGTCAAGCCACACATTGCTTAGAAAACAGACCAAGTACATAATCTTTCACCTTTAATTGTTAAAATGCCTTAAATGTGGAATCATAGGTATGACCTAACCATTTTGCTTTTGCTCATCCTTCAATGGACACTGGGGATAGATTTGAGCAAAGCAAATCCATACAATATAGTTTGCTTACAGACCATTCACAAATATAATTATATGAACAGATATACTGTGGGGTAAGCTTTAGTAAGGGTCTAGCACAGCTCAAGATATTTCCATATTTGTCCGGCCTTCTGCGCTTCCCTCACAATAACTTTAAGAGGATCTGATCTCCAAGAATCCATTGTCTTTACAACAATAACAGTCCAATTTCTTACTGTCTATTTACACCTATGGCATTTCTAAAAACAATGTTTCTACTTTATTCATCAGCAAATATATGAACCTCTGTCAAGGGAGAGGCCAGAGGAAAATTTTAAGTGTCTTGTCTTCATAGATCTGGTGTGCTTCAAGACTAGATTTTGAAGAATTCAAAGGAATTAAGATTTCATGTCCCAAAACAATGATTAAAAATAGGAGAAATTCAAATCAGAAAGAAGAGAGGTCATCCTACCTTCCATTTTGAATAAGAATATGGTTTCCTTTGGTATCTCTATATTTACCCAATAATCCTGATAGAGAATAGACCAGGCATGAGAGCTTGGAGTTCCCAGTTCCTAGATCTGTTGCTTTTCCTGACAGTCTCAGAAGACAATCTAGGTAAGTGGAGGAAGCTGTGTTCTATGTATGTCAAATACAAAGTCATCTGAGCCATATCCTGCTATAAACTATGTTATGGAATAAGAACAAGGAGAAGCAAAGCAGTTAGTATGTAGCCCATATGAGCAGACTTGAGGACAGGCTTCTGGGGATATCTGCTGCCTTCTAAAGGAGATCGAACAATTTTATTCCTAGCATCTTGTTATTGTGCTCTGGAAACCCTCCAAAGAACAGGTGTTGCTGACAGCTTTTCTGTGCTAAGGGCTCAGAGTGAACCAAGGACACAGAAGAAGTGCAGAAGATAGGAAAGTAAAGACATATGAGGAAGATATCACAAGGTGTACTCAACACTCAGCATCCTGATAGAGGCTGGCTTGACTTCACACCCAACATGTCTGGAAAGGAAATGTCATCTGCTCTGGCACTCCTATGGGATTACAGCAAGCCTATCACACTGTCTTTCAAATGTAGGCTCCTCTGCTTTCTCAGTTTTCTAGTGTTTTTACCAAAGATGAATCCCAGTCTTCCACCATATTTGTGGTGTGTGTGTGTGTGTTTAAAGAATGTAAAATAGGAATAATCCTGATCTGGATGTGTCAGGCACGGCCTGCGCCAGTCGCAGGCAGGGGCGCAGGGCAGCGGACAGTGGAATGGCTGGACAGAACCGACCTTGGAGAGAAAGGCTTCTCATCCACCTGTGGCGTGAGCCAGTGCGGAGCAGCAGGCGGAGGCGTCTCAAAAATGAGGCTCTCAAGAGAAAGTGTCCAGCAGCCCGCTAGCTCTCTCCCACTCCCACCCCGTAGGGCAGGTTTTGGCTTAGCAATGAGTCCAGGATTTCAAGAGACATGTGGAGTTAAACACGTCCAGATTTATTGACGTGGCTGGTTTGGATGGTAAAGAGCTCTCCGGAAACATGTCTGAAGGGGTTTGTTTCTATATTGGAAGCGGGCGGGGCTTCAGGTAATATGTAAATTTTGAGGCAGAGACCTGTTCCCTGGCCCTCTACTTGGGACATGGAGACCTCGTGGCAGGTCTCTGGGTTCTGGGGCCATGGCCGAACACCCAGGATTCTACAGTCCCACATGGAGGGAGTTTCTATTTGTGAGATGGTGTCTATGTAGCTCAGAATCTTCAATTTGAAATCCATCTCCCTCAACATCCCGAGTACCAGACTTTCTACTGCAGGAGACTCTTTTTAAGTTTCACAACAAACAAACAAACACACAAAAACAAACAAATTATTGAGGACCTTTGATGATTAGAATTAGTGGTCAACTTGGCTGAATCAAGAATCACTACATGCCCTTCTGGCTGGAGCCTTCTGCTTGAGCATATCACCAGCTTGTCTGCTCCTCTGAAAACATCACAATCTAAAGGCCTCCAGAAGTCCACTGCACACAGGGCAACTGACAGGAGCCTTGCATGGCTGCCCTCTGAGAGGCCCAACAAGCAGCTGAAAGAGTCTGATGTAGATACTAGCACCCAACCAATGGACAGAAACTGGGGACTTCTGTGGTTGAATTAGGGAAAAGCCAGAAGAAGCTGAAAAGTAGGACAGCCCCAAGGGAAGACTAGAAGTCTCAACTGACATGGAACCACAAGATCTCTCAGACACTGAGCCAACAACCAGGCAGCACACACCAGCTAATATGAGGCCCCTGAAACATATACAGCAGAGGACTGCCTGGTCTGACCTCAGTGAAAGAAGACGCACCTAAT